TTACGTTGTGGCAGTCAGGTGATTGAATAGCAGAGGGACATTCGCTCAGACGAGCACCGAACTTTGCCATTCACTTTTCAGGTTCTTGTCTCGATACGCGTAGAACTTTGTTGGCGATAAATTTGAGTGCAAAAGTCAGCTTAGATATGATCTGAGCGGAGAAGAGAGAAGAGAAGAGTAGAGAAGAGAAGAGCAGAGCAAAGGAGTGGAGTTGGTTATTCGTCAGCCAAAAGTTATTCCCGTGCTCCCGAGCTACGGACACTGAGCATAAAGTTTTCATCTAATATATGCTGCGCGTGTGGCCGTGTCGCTGGGTTACCTTGTTCGTAGTTGGGAATCATTCATCATTCCCTGGGACAACATAGTTGTAAATAATGTTACCCACAAGGATTCTTTGCGATTATTATGGTGATAAATCAAAGGCAACCTCCCACAACCAGCGACCGTCTCTCACTATCCCACTCTCCCTCTCTCTCTCTGTCTGTCTCTTTGTCACTGTCTTCCAAGTTGTATGCCATCGTCCTTCCCTCTGCCTGATGGCTTGTGGCTCCTGGCTTGTTTGCACTCCTCCCTCTCTGCCATTTTGCGAACATTTCTGCGACAATTTTCCTCACCTGTGGAAAAGGCAAAGGAAAAGGCTTTGCTGTGGTTCGCATACGAGTGTTCTGCTGTTTGCATTCAGTGAAGGAATTGGTGGTGCGGCGGAAGGGGAGAAAGCGAAATCGGCTCACAAAAGCAATTCGTGGCTTTCAATATGCAAATTACTGTGGTCCAGCTTAGTGGGCTTCCGAGCGGGCTACCAGCTTCGAGTGGGTACATCGAGTGGGTTGTTCATGTGGGTCGTGGGGCGTGGAGCGTGGAGCCCACGTGACGTCAGGGAAATTGTTATTAAGCTGGGGCTGGCCCCAGCTGGAAGGCATGTGTTGGTGTAGGGTGTCGGGTGGGTGGGCGTGTAGGTCGCCTCTCTCTCTGTAGGCCAATCTATAAATAAGTTTAGCAAACAACGCGGATATAAAACTTTCTTCTATGTATCCAACAGCCCCACTCCGATATGGAAATAAAGGACTCTCGTGTGTGTGTGTGTGCGTAGGATGAATGTCAGTCAAGTGAATGCCATGCAGCGTGGAATCGGCAACGGCAACGGCATCGGCATTGAGCTGGGTAGCCGCCTAATGAGTACTCCTAAGCCAATTAGCAGCTGCGAAATAAGTCGCATTGAATGCAAACTCCAAGAGCTGCTGCAGCCAACGCATTGGGTGAAGGGGAACATTTTTGTGCTGTGTGTGACCTCCGGGCAGGATTGGGGCCAATTATCAGGGATTTTTAGGTGGCCAGAAAATCCCTTTGGTCGGGACACTTCTCTGGGGCTTGCCCAGCACATTGAATGCCTTGAACTATACCTAATTCAGGTAAATCCTCTGGCAAAACGTTCAATTAAATAAAAGCAGAATTAATCAAAAGGTCCCCGAGGGAGGTGCTCTGTGGGCGGGCGGGCTGGGGCTGGGGCTGGGGTGCACTCCACTGGAGTGGAGCTGGCAGAGTGTGAAAGACAGATAGCCGGAGATGACATGTAAGCAGTTCGTGTGTGTGTGTAAACCAATAATCAAGACACGCACACACACATAGATATGTACATATACAGAGCAGAGAGAGAGAGTCCCGTACAATTGAGCCCGTGCTGTGAGGTGCCTGGTAGGTGGTGTCAGCGGCCAAAACAAATGATGATAACTGCGAGTCAAATGAAATGTCCAGCAACGAGACCGAAAGCAAGGACACGAAAGCAGGCAAAAATAAGTGGCAAATGTAACAACAATCACAATGCTGACCATAAAGATACCCTGGACAGCCTGTCGTACCCTGGACCCCCCCCGATTCGAGGTGTGCAGCTACACACATTGGTGTGCCATATCGCGTCCCCGTTTCGGGCCAGAAATGCCTGATATTGCTGCTGCACAGGGTATGGAAAAGGCAAGGCAAAAACTCAAATGAAATGGGGAAAAGCATAAAAATAACCATCGAGGCAGTTGGGCAACAAAATCGAGCAGCCAGAAAATAAAGACAATATTTGTCGGACAGACACATACAAACAGGAAGACAGACACATACTTATACGTGTGCCGGAAGTGAGTGCGACACACTCGAAAAATGGCGAACCCAAACCCCAGCCAAGTGCAAGACTTAGATGCAGACCCAGAGCCAGAGCCAGACCGAAAACCTAAGACCCAAGGCCTTGCGTACGTAACCAAAGTTGCGAAACTGAAAAGCTGTCGAGGTTCGGAATCGGACAATGGCCAAAATCAAGGGGGTGGCAGGCGGTGTGGGGCAGCCGAACGACGGATTGGGTTAAAACATATTTGCCAAGGACGTTGCTTGGTTCGTCCGACCGACAGACAGACCGAACCGACCGACCGCCAGGCAAACAGAGTCGGCCTAATCAAAAGTCACAAACACAGGCAAACAAGCCCCAACACACAGACACAGACACACAGCATCTTGGCCAGCAAGCAAGTCAAGTCAACAAAAAGCAAACTATTTGTTTGCCATCATGCGTGCGTGTGTGTGTGTGTCCTCTACCCTACCCCTGCCCCACTGCCACACCCACACCCACACCACACAAAAACGTGTTCAAACGGCTTTGGCCCTTCTTTGGTGTGGTCTGGGCAGGGCTTGGCTGGTGCTCTGTCAGCCAATTTGACAGTTACCAGTTACAACATAGTTACAGCCGACTGGCCAACACACACATACCCACACACACACACACACACATCACGTATACGACGCACAGATGCAAATGTACACAAATTGCGTGTGGCCCGTATCTTCGTGTGTGTGCTGGTTGCTGGTGTTGGTGTGTAAGTGCGAGTGTGTGGCTTCGTGGGTGAATGGTCTAAGGGCTTCTGGCAATTTGCATTATTGTTTAGGCATAATGCAACCCATAAAGGGCTGACATAGTCGTAACCACAAATACCCGATCCCTGTCGCCTGTCCCCTTTTGCTGTACCCATCCCTGTCACTGTCCCTTTGCCTGTCCCTTGTCTGTGTCCCTGTGCTGCGTGGAGAGAGGTTGACGTGACGGAATATTTGGACTGCCTTTCAATCATCGGCCCCTCAATCAACTTTATTGTTTTGCAGCCACAACGCAAAAGTAATGCCTATTCGCTTTATTTACAAATAAATTATGGGAGAGGAGCACTCTTCGTACGTTCATATGTATGTATGTATGTATGTATAAGGAAGATGGAATAAAGGTAGCAATGGAGCAAATGGAGAGCTCATTAAAATGACAGCCACAATGCGACTATTGCACAATATATTTGTTTTCTTTCTTTCCCTTTTCTCTCGTTTATTATGGTGCGTGGGTTAGTCAAGTCAGTCAAGTGAATGGACATGTAGTGGGTTTCCGGATCGACATTGGCCCGCTAATGAGTACTCCTAAGCCAATTAGCAGCTGCGGCATAAGTCGCATTGAATGCAAAGCTTCCAAGAGCCGTTGCAGCCAACGCATTAGGGGGGAAAATTTTTGTTGTGTGACCTTCGGGCAGGTTTCGGGCCAATTATCAGGGGATTTAACCACACGTTATTTTTTTATTGAGGGTTGCGGAATATGTTAGAAAATGCCCCGCTGAAGCTTTCAGCAATTATAACTAATTCCGGTAAATCCTGTGGCAAAAGCATTCAATTAAATAAAAGCACAGAAGCTCTCTCGCAGGTGTGGACACGCACACAGAAACCCCCTTTTAAATTATGCACACAAACATATGAATGTATGTATGCATGTATGTATGTATGTACTAAATGTATGTGGCTCAATCAACTAGCCAACTAATAAACACAACAAAACTTTAATTGGTGCTCAAATACTCGTATTTAGATGCTGTGCAAGTGGTAGATCTAATGCCCTTCATTGTGCGACAACTGTCAATACTTTACTATACAAAGGCTCAGTAGTGACACATTTTCCATATGTATAGATATTTTCTTAGAAACAATATTTCAGACACGTATCGTGTTGTGCATTCAAATCTAATGCATATTTTATATATGCGGAAATACAATCATGAATATCATATATATATATAACGCCTTTTCATGTACATACGTATATCCTACGGTTAATTCTCACGCTCTTTCTGCTCTTATTCCTGTTTTGGAATAAAACTCGAACTGCGTTTGAGCTTTCTTTTGCCACAAAACTTTACAAAAAATACTTTGTATTGTATATTAGTGCAAAAATAGCAGCGTCGCTTCACAGCACCATCAGCTGTTTCTTCAGCCGCCCGCGCACCATTATGCAACACTGATTGGCAGCAACAGCCAAAAAGCGCAAAAAGTTGTAAAAATAACCAATTTGTCAGATGAAGAGAGTGCAAAGTGACAATAAATAAATTCGTGGATGATTCCACGAAATGCGTGAACAGGAGGCAGCAGCCAACTCTCTCACACACTGCCCCAAAACGCCACATATGCTACATAAGTATGTAAATAGAGCGCTGCAGATGACAGTTGGTGGTCTAATGAAATGCCTTTGCCTTTGAGCTATAACTACTGCCCCGAACAAGTCCAGCCCCGTTAAGCTGCCGGCCTCTGTACGGTTAAATGTCCTCTGGCCGGCATTTCAATTAGCAGTCTTGTGTGGGCAGGTTGAGTAAGTGCAGGACTCCACGACATATCCATGTCGGTCGGGCCGTGTACCGGACAAGAACAAGTGAACAAGCAAAAAGCAGACAACAGATAACAGCCAGCAGCCAGCTACAGCCTCACTGGCATGGCGGGCGGCACTTACACTTACATCTGCCGCACAATCCAATTTGAAATGCGGACACTTGCAGATGATAGCGGCTAACGACGCCGATGATCACAGCAGGAAAATCATAAGCGAGAGAGAGAGAGAGAGAGAGAGAGGGCAGCACACAACACAGCACATCACACAATGGCGGAGTGTCGTTTGATTTGCTTGGAGATAAATACATAAATAAATTTAAATTAAACCTGGGCACGAGCCCTGGATGACAATTTCAATTAAAATGCTTTATGGCGGCCAAATAAATGGCACTTTGGTGCCGCTTCGCAGTGTGCACGATGCATGCTGGATGTTGTGTGCACAACGCTCATGGAATGTATGTATAAAATATTATATTTGATAAGAGAGAGCACAACAAAATGGCAAAAGGAAAATCAATATCAATATGTCTGCCACTTTCAGGTGAAAATGGTAAATAACATCTCACATGCGACATGGACACGTGGACACACACAAACACACACACACAGCCCGGATACAGTCACCCACAAATTTATTTGCACAATTCACAAAATGGGGGGAAAAAGCCAATTAAACTGGCAAGTGGAGCTCAATTCGGCTCTGAGCGGCTCGGCTCGCACCGGAAGACAAAAACAAATTTGCATAGATGATTAAAAACTTTCGCCCCTGCCTCCATTCCCTTTCGAATCGGCGGACCCAAAGGTGAGTCCGCAGCAAAGTGTGAACACAAAAACTCAATGACCAAACTTTAAGCACAAACTCAAGCTGAAACTGAAACGGAGGCTCAAATTCAATTATTAATTTAACTTTTCATTGAATTCTCTCAGGCCAAACGCACAGCCTCCCCCCCATCCATTGTGCCATCAATCAATTGAGAAATACTGGCAGCATACTGGAAATCTCCCATCAACCTAATTTTCTGCGTCGGACCAGGGACACACACACACACACGCCACCAGGCTATTGGAGCAGCATGAATGGCAAGGAAGGATGCTGCAGGCAAATGGAACTACAACGAGTAAATGGATGCAGCTCAAGCTCTTGCTCTTGCTCAGATATAATCGATAGCCTTTGGTTGCTTATATATAAGACTTTGCTATCGTATCCTCCACGATTGAAGTGACCATTGAGTGAGAGAACGGCTAGGAGTGTGGGTGTGGTGTGGTGGGGGGCTAAATCCTCTGAGAACTGCAATAAAATCTCTTAAATACAATGAATAATGCTGCATGCTGCACGGAAATCACAATTCCACCAGTATACCCATTACTATCGATCCGTCGTGGCTCTTCTGCTGTAATCCGAAACCGAATCCCCACTAAAAAATGCATTGTGCGCCATTAGCGGAAACGAGCGCCGTGCAGGACGCACCCTGCGCAACCTTCCCGGGCAGCTTTAAGTGCTGCAGGAGCGGCACGGCACGGCACTCCTTTGTGGGGCAGGCAGCCCAAAGCCATGAATAGGAATTTTCGGAAAGCAGGCTTAAGGCAGGTTTACAGTTTACAGCCAAAAGACGGCGAACGGAGGATAGTGTTTCCGTAGTACTTGTAAATACTCGCAAAGGAGCTAGGGACCTGGCAGAGCAGATGGGGTTTATTGTGAATAGACAAATATATATATTGGATTATGGATAGAATTTAAGAACAGGTCGGTGGATCGCATCTCAGCTCTACAGGAGCATCAGCGTGCAGCACTCAGGCAACCTTGAAGCTCTCGTGGAGGGGCACACCAATCAAAATGTTGAGCGAAACTTTGAGGGGATACGGCAGCCAGCCATTCACCTCCAAGATTGTTACCGGCATTCCGCTCTCCAAGCTCGCGTCCAGCGGAATAATTGGCGACTTTGCGCTGTGTCCCAGCTGCAGTCCTTCCTTTAGGGCGACTACGAGGCCGCGGACTAGGATCTGTTGCCTCTGGTAGTATTTCAGAAGTCCTGAGAGTTTCAAGTCATATTCGAAGCGAATCTTCAGCTTGTAATCCTGCATTGTTCCGCAAATGTCCATGCCAATGGCAACATTCGGCCAGCGCCACCATTCCTTAGACGGCTTGGTCAGAACTATGCCGAGTCGGTTGCACCGCTTCAGGAAGAACTCGCTGGTAACCATGCCATGCGGCAGATACTCGGCATCGACATCGAAATACAGGACGCTGTCCAACCAGGAGTTCAGCAAATGGCCTCCTACCCATTTCGCCGGGAGCACCCTCCCGTCGTCCAGCTCCTTCACACTGCTGTCGCTTATGCAGAGATACTGAGTCCGCAGCTTCTGGAACACCTTCACGTAGGGCTGTCCGGCGGCAGTTTCAAGAAAGGAGCCACGAGGGCCGTAGCGTTCGGCAAAGTACCGCAACGGAGTCATTTGAGCCGCTTCCAGCTTGCGCAGCGTCTGGCGGGCCTTTCCCTGGTTCTCCAGATCCCCGGGCTCGGAGCCGAGGTGAATGCGCAGATACATCCACATGCACAGCAGTTCGTACAACTCCTTCTCGCCGGGCACCACGTACAGGTTGGGGCTGGCCACGAGCTCAGTCATCAGCTCTATGGGGATGCGTCGCAGCAGGTGGGGCTGGCCGACGGAGGGGTCCATGAGGTTGACGAGAAACCAGTCCACCACGATCTTCCGCAGGTTCTGCATCTCATTCTCGCAGGCCACGTGGTAGTAGTGCGTGGCCGTCAAGTGACTTACGCTCTTCCCCAGGCTTTTCTCGCAGAGATTGCTCAGGTGCAGTCCATCCCTGGGCTGCCGGTACCACTGCAAGGCATCACTTGCATTACTGTTGGGCATATTGAAGCACGTGTTCGCAGAAGATATTCACAGACAGCTTGGAACTTGGACTGAAATGGTGCAAAATGGTTCCTTCAGTTTCAGGAACGATGGCAAATGGCTAACAAGTGATTCGCACACTTACAAATCCTCAAGAAAGCCAAGCCCCAATCCGATTCACACAGAATATGCAGCAAAAACACCAAACGTGACTCTTTTATTTTCCGATTTACACTATTTTCGCGTGGCTTGGCTGCACGAACTTTGGCCACACTGAAACGGGGTGCGCGAGTGCTGCAAAACATTTTCACATTTCAGTGTGCAGCAACATCAGCGGACATTCCAAATTAATTCAGTGCTGGAAAGCCAATTTCTGGGTCTGATTGGGTGTTGGGAGACACTCTTACCGATCCCTTTCCCAGTTCTGTGTGCCGCCTGCTGTTCCACTGCTTGTGGTGCGACGGCTGCAGTGTCAGTGCCAGTGCTAGGGGCAGACTGCGTTCCCGTCAGCTGCGGCGACGCTTAAGCCAAAAGCAGTTAAAAACACTAAGCGATGTGGCCAGCCAGACAGGCGGTGCAGGAGCAGCAAGCAGCCCAGGAGGAAGGTAAAGAAGCGGCAGTAGAAGCACAAAGAGAAAGAGAAAGAGCTGGCGCCAGCAGTTGCAGCCATAAAAAGGCGGATCGCAGCATGCAGCACGCACCACGCGCCATGTTGTAGCGTTTGTAAGCTGACAATCGCAACGACGCGTCGTGTCGTGGCATAGTCGAGGCGCCACCAGCACCAACACCACCCAACACTGCCATTGCCACGCCACCAACAAGCAGAACAGAACAAGCTGTAATTGAATTTCTGTTGACAGATTTTAGCGCACAATATCCTGCAGCGAAATTGCCACAAAAGGGCGACGAAAAACGTAAAATAAAAATAAAACAAGTAAAACAAAGTGAAGCGTAAGCGAAAAAGCTGCAACAGCTCAAAACAATTGAAAAAAGAGAGACGAGAAACGACCATCGATGCACCGCTCCAACCAAATTTTATTTTGTGAAAAGGAAACAAACACCACATACATATGTTTGCATCATACTTATCATATGTACTGTCTTGCTGCACTGTACAAAAACATATGTTTTGTGTAGGTTAAATGTTTTGCATTACCAATTTCATGGCTAAAGCTCTACAGTTTCGAAGGTGAATTGTTCATAGAAGGTTTTATTGCAGCACAAATTATTTCTGAAGCCCTGCGTAGGAAATCTTAAGGCACAGACGGAGCCACAGACGCTGCTCAGAGTGCCAGTGCCTCTTGTATGCTCCACCGCTTGAAAGCTGACAGATGTACATACATACTGTGCCATCTCCATTTGGTCTGAACTTGAGTGATGTATATATATGTATAGTATGTATATACATAAATGACAAAAGTTTGGGCAATAGATAGGCGTGACTGTGTGTCTCTCTCTCTCTCTTGCTCACTCTGCGCAAAAAGTTGTGCAATTCAATTATGTTCTTGTGATTGTTTTACAGTTTTTTCAGTTCGACAAGCGACGGCGTTGAGTGAAATAAATGCTACTGTGGTTCTCTGCCATCCACCATTTATACTGATACACACACACACAGAGAGCCAGGGACAGCCAGGACACGCAAGGACTCACTAGAATGAAGCAAAGTAAACGATTTTTCATGTTACTTCGGTGATTCTGTGTGCGTACAAGTATTTATGTTGTCCCTGTAATAACAGACATGAAAACTGGATGACTTCTGCTTGCCTGCCAGCTGGCAGCTTGCTGCCTGCTCTGATTGACTCTGTGACTTGATTGACTGATTGATGAACTGACTACTGACTAAACGGGCGACCCACAGGCAAATTGCGCCCATGCCCTTAATGTGCTTACATGGAAAACCAATTCCCACCGAGACTCAAAACAAAACACAACCCTAAAAGTTATAGTGGACTCCAGCCAGAAGGCTTTTCTCGCTGCGGGTACCGGCTGCTGGATTGCTGGATTGGCTGGGTGCCTGGGCCTGGCACTGAGTGAAGTGATTTCCCACTTTCGAAATGCCGCAATTTGGGCCGGCGTGTGTGTCCATGGCGGGCGAAAAATGCAACGCCTGCAACGCAGCAGGCAATGGACTGGTCGGCAGGTCTGACGCCAAAAACAAACCACAAAATGGCTGTGAATAATGCGTATTGGCCACAACAGCAGCGGGCTAGTTCCACAGTCATAGCTGCTGGAACCGATGTACCCCAAACGGAGTTGATTGCGACTTGAATTTCCTTTCACACTTCTTTTTGTTTGTTGTGTTCGCTGATGCGCGTATTTTGTACATTTGAATTAACTTGACATTGACAATTGCAAGCACATTTCCATAATTTAAATGCCATTTTTTTTTTTTTGATATTCGTATTAATTATGCGTATCCAATGAATGCATTCACAAGAAAATGCGAATATATTTATGACTTATTGACATTTCGAATCAATTGAAGCAGAAAATGCGCTGCCTGCCACACCAGAGTGGGGAATGGCAGTTGGACACGTGAAGGCGGTGAAGGTGGAAAAATTGAGAGACTGCAGGCGATGGATTCTTTTTGTTCCACAATAATTGTGCATCATATGTCAATCTTAATTAAATGAAACAAATTTCGCCGTATTATTGGGATTTGTGTGTTGTGTGTGATGATTTCAATGAGAGCACGAATCGGATCCGTGTTCGATGATGCATGATTTACCTTCATTTTCTGATCGGATTACACATTTTTGTGATACAAATGAAATGCTTTTTAAATACAATTTGATTAAGTTTATGTTCCATGAAACGTATCAAATATGTATTTTAATGCAGAAAATAGAGAATATATATATTAGGCTGGGCCAAAATTTGACCAAAAAATGTTTTTTCTGTTTTTTCAAGTGGACACCCCCCAATTCTGTTCTTTGTTATTCAATAAAATTATACAATTTTTTTTCAAATTTTTAGTGTAATGTTTAGTTAATGCTACCACGAAGAAATTAAAATTTTTGGGTAAATATTAATTAATATTAATTCGTCGGTTTTTTTTCAAATAATATTGAAACTTAGAACTAGTTCATATTGATAATAAGGTATTTTTTTTTTTTTTAGGAACTGTTAAAAAATTAACGATTGGTGAAAATCAAGAGGTTCAGCTGAGGTTGATATATTTAGTTAACTAGTTCGCAACTTGTGCAGGTTTTTTACTGCCAATAACTGATTAATGACGATATGAATGTTATCAATATACCTAGTGAAGAGTATATGTGCACTTTTTAATTTGTTATATTTTCTATAAACGTAACGGTATATTTTTTGTAGGTATGCAAGTTTGTACTCTTATCTATTATAAAGATCTTCCACTCCAATGTTCCTCTTTGCGCTTCATTCTTTGTACCGTTTGAAATAATATCTGTAACAACTCGTGGTTTTCAAAGGCAATAGTATACGTGCAAGCTTAGATTATTGTGCTATCGCGTGCGGGTAGCTAAGAGTGTTATCCAAAAGTTATTTAATCAGCAGAATGTAAGTCAACTTGTTTTTATCCGTTTGGAGACATAAATGCCTGTTATAATTTTGATTTTACGGCAGAATGCCACGTGAACACATTTGTCGAAGGAAGATCGCGGTCTGATCAAGGGCTGGCCGATCTGGCAAGAACATTTCTTATATTGCCGCCAGACTAAATCGGCATAGAAACAGAATAGCAAACTTTCTCACCGGAGTTGTTGGACAACTTTACGGGGATGAGTGGATCTTCCAGCAGGACAACGTGCCCATCCACACGGCACGGAAAACAAAACTTTTTGCAGCTAGCAAGATTCCCTTATTGCAATGGCCAGCGATCAGCCCGGACCTTAACCAATAGAGGATCTTGGGATTATCCAACAAAATTTATAAGAATGGACGCCAGTTTGATACGGTAAATGACCTCAAAAAAGCATTGCTCCAAAACGGGATCAAACCCTACTTCTTAAACTTGGCAACCTCAATGCCCACCCTATTAAATTTTCACTAAAAAGGAAGCATATAAACTATTAATAAGCAACAAAAATTTGGTATTTTTTTGTTAATATATACCTTTACTATTATGTATATTAAAAAAAGTTCAAAACATTCTCTTTGTTTTTAATAGTTTTTTGTGTATTCAACGCACATATGTATACTTCTTTTCTGATGTATATACAATAGATTTCACCAATTATAATTGGATATTATCCAACTCATTCAGCAACAAATTTTTTTTTTTAATTTTCTTCATTAAAATTCGGTAGCAACCTCTAAAAAATTAAAGAAATTAAAACATTTGAATTACTATTAAATCTACGGTAACAAAACTAGGGGGTGTCCCGTTTGAATTTCGAAAAAAAAATTTTTTGGCCCAGCCTAATATATTCATATATATCATATATATGTATATATCATAAATATAAAAGAACTATAGGCAAAGGGTATATGTATCTCTTTTTCTTGCTTTATTAGATTTGTGGTAAAAGTGGATGTGTGTAACGCAGGGAAGGAAACGTTTCCGACCCCATAAAGTATATATATTCTTGATCAGCATCAATAGCCGAGTCGATATGCCATGTCTAGACAGACCGTCCGTCCGTCTGTCCGTCTGTCCGTCTTGTTGAGCGCCTGGATCTCAGAGAATATAAGAGTTAGGGTAACCAAATTTGGTTTCCAGGCTCATGTGATATCACACTGCTACAAGTGTATTTCAAAATTTCGCCCCGCCCCCTTCCGCCCCCACAAAGGACGCATATCTGTATCATAGAGAATGCCCATATCTACCAGATTGCCGAATCTGAATCAGATCGGATCGGAGATGTAGAATCTAAGTGGTACATGTATAATCTACATGTTAAATGTAGAATATACATAGTTATGTGATGTAGCTAACAGATGTAGCAAAAAAATGAAAATGTAAAATTTTTTTTTTAATTTTAAAATTCGTAATAATTATATGCTCAAATGTATATGCTGACTGAGTACGGGTATAAGTAGCGGTCGCGTCCCCAGAAGCGACTCACACGTTCCTTCTTGTTTTTTATAGATTTAATGAAAGCCTTAATTAGTGCTCGATGATGGATGCATGACTTACCTTCAATTTCAGTTTCTGATCGGATTACATTTTTATGTGATTGAAATGAAATGAGTTTTAAAATTGATTTGATTGTTAAATGATTATTCCAGCCATAATAATGCACGACTATACGCTTTCGGCTTTTCCAATTAATTGAAGCAGTAAACTGAGATATATTCGGGCTAGCAAACCATCTGATAAAAGTCGCCCACAGCATGGTTTTTGGGATCGATTCTGTTTCTGCTGTTGCGTATTTAAGTTTTGCCCTTCCCTTACAATTTGATGGCTACAAAAGCAGATGGAGATGTTCGCTGACTCGGATCCAAGGCTCTTTCTGCCAGCCCCCTTGTTTGTGCGACTCTTGAGTAAGGTCAGTTTAAGCGTCTGGGGAATTGGTTATTCCTGCTACATACATAAATCGACCACACACATTGTGGCCACATACGCATTTGTCTATGTCTGTGGGCAATGGTGGGGAAAGTAAGAACATGATGTGCGTATGTATAAAAGAATTGAATTTCAGAAATGTTTCACTCTGGAGACTATGGAAATATCTAAGATGGATAAGCTGCTTGAGTAGCGGGTATAAAAACCCAACGCCAAAAGCAACCCAATCGGAGATAAGTGTCGATAGTTCTAGTGTTATCGCTGCGTGGATCCCTGGGACTATCCGTGGACCACCTATGAGACCTGCCACTCGGCATACAAGACTGCCACCGAATGCTACCATGGCAACATTTTGATATGGAGGCAATTAAAATTCGCTTACGTTTCGTGTTCACATATTAAATGAGAAACACAAAAATGTTGCGTATGTACATCAAGCAATTAAATATGCATTTGATTTGGCTAATAATTAAGGAATTTTCCATTATTAAATATGCGGGCAGAAAATGACATTTAAAAATGTGTGCGAGCATAATTTGCCTGAAGGGGTGGACAGCCAGTCAGCACATCCATTTGGCAATATTTAATTTCGAAAATTTACAAAGACTTACCAAAAGGCAAGAAGCTACATAGATTTATGACTACTTGCAGGCGCATTGATAATCCCTGCTTGGGCATTACTTTGTGAAATTTGAGGCAGATTTTTGCCGTGCCGTGCCGTGGTTCAGGGACAGACAGCTTACAAAATATGTATAGCCGGGCATGTTTGGTTGGGTGTATTTGTGAGGGGTTTTGCGAGGGAGTTGAGTGGCATTTAAGCCACAAAAGGCATAAAAAGAAAACGAAGGCCTTAAGACCGTTTCAAGTTGCTCAACACACACACACAATGCATGTATATGTGTGCATGTGTGTGTATCTCATATGTACATCTTCTTTTGAGTTTTGTACATGTCCGTTTGAATTAATATTACAATGTCCTTAAGGTTTTATTTTTGGTTGATATTCCTTTTTTTCTTTATATATTTTTTTGCTGGCTTGTCTTCCCTTTTCTTCTGCTTTCTTCTCCGTTCTCTACCTATTGTCGGCCTCTGATTCGGATTCGGATTCCTTTTCGCTTTTCGCTTTTGGCTGTTTGATATTTATGCCTTGTTGGCTTCTTAGCCCAGTCCACATTGTTGTTGTTTTATTTCGGGGCATATTAAAAATTCATACAAATGTAAAACGAAAATCCTCAAGACAATCATAAAAAAATATAAAAAACAAGAACAGCAAAAGGCGGCATCAGCCGCCCAGGCAAAGGGTTTCCACCGAAACGCGCTGGGCGAATAAAAATGAAATATAATTTCGACTCGAAAATCCACGTGTGTCTCTGTGTGTTTGTGTCCGTGTTCCTTCCTGTGCTGGTCTCCGAGCAAAGTCTGCAAGTCTAAATCAAAGTCCTGTGCTCTGCAAAAAAGGTGCTTAAAGTTAAAAATCCGGCCCCAAAAAGTAGGCAACGATTTCTGTTCGAACACTTTTACGTACGAGTATGCGTGATATTTGCTGTAGAACAGTGCAGAACAAGCGCGTTAACAGGTTCTACATCGAGGCTACTGAGTGGCAGAGTGCTGGCAGTGCAGTACGTTTTACAAGTGTCCGATTTACATTGATTGATGGTGAGGAAGGGAGACATTATTTTAATAAATAGTATTATAATAATTGCCTTAAGAAGTGAAAATGTTTCATAACTGATTTGTGGATATTTGAAAGAAATTTGCATTGGAATGGGACAGCCTACAGGACTTTAAACATACTGGCACAGAGGCAGCTGAGCAGATACATATCTGTGAGAAGACGAACGTGCCAAACGTTTTGTTATTGATCTTTGCCACTTTCCTTAGCTTTGTTTTCTTTAATTCTTTTTTTTTTCTTTGATTTTGACTTTCCCGGCCACTTTCCTGTCTGCTGCTCACCCTACGCATAGCTGTGTTGTGTTGTGTTTTCGTCTACTGCTCGAGGAGCAGCTCATAAAAATGCTAGAAACAATAAACGTCAATTTTTGCATGGCAGCCAATTCAAGGGAAGGGCTGAAGCTGCCTGAGGCTGGCTGTGGGCTGGGTGGGATGACAAGAGATGGCGGTTGGGTATTGGGCTGGCGTGTGACTACGGCTGACTGATAAACTTTTGGGGTGCTTAACTAGGTTGACACTCCGCCTTTGCCTCATATTACTGCCTGCCTGCGGATAGGATATGACTTAATGATTCATACTTGTGTCAGTGCTTCAGTGTGTCAGTGCTCCCAGCCCCAGTGAATGCGCCTCCTTTGTGACTCTAGGATTCCAGTAATCTCCCTCACCTGCAAGGGAGAAACAGAGCAGGCATAGAGAAAAAAGCATTGTGATTAGTGTGTCAAATCAAGTGCGCAAAATATACGTATAGAAAATATTCGTGGAAAAGTAATTGGAAAATGGAAGTTTTTATTGAAAATCGTCAGCGCAATGCAATCAACGCTACTATTTTTATTGATCGCGTACAGGTGGTAGTGCGTAATTTGCTAATCTACTTGTGGACCTACATATTCCTGAAGCTACTCCGCTTCCGGGTGTGGGTTCAACTTCGGCTCTGCATGCGGTACTTCCGTAGACTGACTGCCAAGCTTAGCTATTACCATCATCGCAATCGTGAACTTCCCTTGAAATACATTGAGGTAAGTCAATGGAAAGTCGATCACAAGGTCTCTGCCCACTCTCTCGCTCTCTCTCTCTCTCTCTCGCAGCAATTGGACAAAATAAATGACATAATGGCTATGCTGATGCTCAAAGATATGGACATTGATGACTTGGGACGCTTTCCACGACTGGATGTACCCTTACATATCTACCAGGATTATCTGTTAATCAAGCAGGAGGTGATGGAGATTGAGATGAAGTTGCTCAAAGTATACGTTGAAAGACTTCGGGAAGGGCCTGAAGAAGAAGAATTTGAATGGCAAGAGGAGATCGACAGCGGCAGCGGCAGCGACAGCGACAGCGACGATTACTCGGACAATACCGATTCCGATTTCTTTGATTTCACTGACGATGATATGGATAGATAGATAGTTAAATGGGCTGCTGCTCCGAAAAAAGAAAACAAAATAAGACAACTGCTATGACCCCTCCCACTCCGCCCAACCAACCACACTGTAAGTAATGTGAATAATTTTTGATTTGATCAAAATGCATTTCTAATCCAAATATTTACATACTTACAGCTGCTACTTTTGGCTGTTGCAAATACGAAATAGATGACAAACAAAAACAATACGCCCGAGTAGATTCCAGAACATTGGCCACACATTTAAGAATCAATTCAGCCAGACAGTCAATTGTTGTCTTTGTTTGGCTGTTCGGCTGTTTGGCTGAACTATGTAAATCAAAATTTAAAGTGTTTACTGCCTGATTGCCAGAGTTAGATAATGGACTCGGCCATGCAGTAATTGCAATATAAATTGCATTGTTCTCTGTTGCAATAAAACACACACACAAAAAGCCAAACACACACACACACACATGAGATATTCGACAGATCCAAAATACGCATATAAATGTTTTTATTGTTTGTGGCGGTGTTTTGGGCACTAGCTTTGAGGTAAATTAATTTACAGATACAATTACGGCAATTATCGAGGTAGAAAGAATGGCAGCATTCAGTATACGGCCAGCAGTGGGCATGGGGCATCGCCCCTTGCAATAAATAAATCAAAAAATATATATGTATATACATATGTATAATATATATGCAATATATTGTGTCTGTGTCTGTGTGTGTGCCTCAATTAAGGCCGAAAATAAAATCAATTTATTTATTTAGTGGCCAATCGCATGTAAAATGCATATATGTGGCATATGTGGCATATGAGGCATGGATTTGTATGTGTGCCTGTGTGTATTTCGTTTATTATTCATTCACTCGTCGCGTTGTTTGCGCAGCCAAATGCGTTTTTGCCCCACGCACCCGCCGCACACAATAATGGGCTTCTCAGTACTTGCCCCCCTTCCACCCATCCACACCACGACCGCACATGTTGCATGACGACAACTGCGTCTACGATTCTGCCTACGATTGAGACCCTTTGCCACAACACTTACAGCAGAATAATTGGCTAAGAAACTTATTGTTGGGGGCAGCACATACACGGCAATTACATAGATCGAAATTGCGACTATTAGAGGAGGTGGCAGGCCTACCGCAATATTAATAAATATTTAGTGATTATAGCGATTGCATAATTAGAGATTGCCTGAGAACAATGCCAAAAGGCGACGATTTCGATTAGTTTATAGAAAAATTATAGGTCTAAGCAGGTACTTAAATCTGCCATAGCCGGAGATTATGATCTGAAGGTAAACTGGAGGGCAGCCAAAGCCATAAATTAAATGTTATAGCTGGGATACATTTGATAGGATACTCGTTCGACTTATGCCCATTATAATTGTGGGAATTTCATGGACAGCAGCAGAGAGCAACGCAGTCTGTAGAGTTAACCAGGAAGTAGAGAGAGAGAGCGAGAGACTAGAAGCTGCTTTCGATTGTAGCAAAGAGTGGGAGGCCTCAGCGATCGACGACAAATTCTCTCTCCAGCCACACGCATTTGAGAACGCAAATATTTTTGCAACACAATTAAGTTGAATAAAGTTTAAGCTAATAAATATTCTAAGGTATTTTCTTGATTTATCAGATGAGCCAAAAAGGCTTCGAAAATTGCATCTTAACTATGCGTCGTCGTTTATTTAGATGTGTCTTCAATTAGTTTTGTTAAAGATCTCTGCCTCAGTTTGCCTGAGTGTGTGGACGGGGGCAGTGGCACAGGACAGACTGAACGCTGATGCTGCTGCTGCTGCTGCTGCTGGTGTCCAACATCTTGCAGCAGTCTGTCTGTACAACATAATTAAGTTTAATTGACAACCGCTGACTGTTTGATTGGCTTCACTTGTTTTTTGTTGTTGTTCCTCCCTGGCTGGCTGACTGACTGACTGAATGACTGAGTGACTGTTGCCTCCGTTTTGTGGCACTACATATGTGAGCTGCTCTCCCTCGCCCTCTCATTATGTACAGGCACTTTTGTTGAGCACACAAGCATTCATCATATTAAGTACAATATGCAATTGTTGCTCTGCCGCTCCGCTGCGGCGTATACTTAATGTCAGAGAATGTGAATGCGCAATGCGAATGTGAATGTGAATGCGAGTGGAGTGGAATGTAATGGCAGACAGAGCACTCAATAAATCATCGGGAATGAGCTTTGCTGTGTAAAAGCAGCAACAGCAGCAGCAGCAGCAGAAAGAGGGACACGGAAACGGACAGGGACAGGGAGAGAGACAGTGAGAGGACCGGACTCAGTACAGTCCGTACCGTACAATACAATGGGACAGTTTACTTCGATTGCCATCTTTACATGCTGTACATTAAAGTTAAACAGCACTTGGCTCTGGGCATATTAAATGGATTTATGGATTAGTCAACGCATTTGGCAGCAAGCACTTACGGGTATTGTATTCTGTTAGCCAGTGATCTTAGTCGCATATATGTGGGCGAAAGAGGCGTTACAATGTCGAATGAATCAATCAAAAATCGGTTGAACGTCTAAACGCGGGTACAGTAAATTTTCAACTGGATTAAGTGATGCAGCCAAGAGGAGAGAAGAAGGGTTGCTAAGCTCAGACAGAGAGAGGGAGGAGTAGGATTGGCAGGGGGCAAGCCCCACACACAGTTCAATGCACGGCTGGATTCACATTTTGCTTGCGGTAGACGAAAGTTTTTTCTTCTTTTATCAAAGTTAAGGCCAAAGTGGGAATTGTTTGGCCTCACATTGTGGTGTGGTCCTGGGGGCTGGGGGTTAGGGCCACGGGCATGGGGCATGGGGCAGTGCTAAGGGGTAGTTATAGCAGCAAGCTGCTGAACATTACCGTTAACGAGAAATATCAACTGTTAAATTGCAGCAAATGACAAGCGGGGCGGATGGCGGGGGATGTCAGTGACGACGATGACGACGAGCGAGCGAGCCAGAACAAAGGATGAAGAAAGGACACAGAAAACGTCCACCCAAGCGAAATAAAAACTGCAAAAGTGAAAACCGAAGCTGCAAATGCACTTCCCGAATTTAATATAGCCATAGAATATTATTATGTAGCCATACTTTTCCGTTTTATGGTCCGAAAAGCCATGGGAACCTACTGCTGGAGAGGGTATATACGTAGCATGAGAGAATCAAAAAGTTTTCTGCAAGTTTCGTGTAGGTTTTCATTAGCCAACAAATGAAGCAAAATGATATCAAAATGAAAACGCTTCTGACACACAGACAGACAGACAGACAGACAGACAGTCGAATGGGGTAGGGAGTGGGAGTGGGTGAGCCAACCTGTTGCGGAGGACACGGACACCCGCCAAATGTAATCGAAGTTCATTCTTTATTTCTGTCGGGCCACAAATAAATTTATAGCATTTAAGGTACTCACGCGATGCCACAATAACAGCAACAAAGATGACGACGACGACGACGACTACGACAATGATGTGTGGCTTTGCCTCATTCCCCACCCACCCATTCTGGTGTCTTGTACACACACGGGGCGTATGCGTGTTATAGAAATAAAAATGGCTGCTACATACACAGACACATGCATGGCTCTACTGACTGGTCCAACCCGTGCCGCGGCAGGGGGCACCCGGGGGGAAGGGGGGCGGGCCGGGGGCCCCGGGGGGGCACACGGGCTACGGTCTCTCTGTGTGTGTGTGTGTGTGTGTTTGCCATACGGGGGGGACGGGGGGGGGGGGTGGGGGGGGGGCCACGGCACACGCCGGCGGGGGGGGGGCTACTCATTATGATGGCGTCGTTAGGTCTATTAAATGTTCCTTTGTTATACAGTACCCATCTTCCTCCCCTGCCCTCCCACACTGCCGACAATAATATTGTTCTTTATATTTTTAGTCACTGGCAGGTCCTTGAACTTCACGGCCAAAGCGAGCTGCGAATCCGAATCCAAATCCAAATCCTCGCTTTCGTTTGCCACGCTCAGACGACGGAAACCTTTTCTCCCCAACCCAAAATCGAAGAGCTTTTGTTCCACTGTCCCTTAAATGGGGCTTTAATTTCTTTTAAGGCTTCATTTAAGGTTTCATTCACAGGCTGCCTGTGTTGCTTGTGGCGCTATCTACATATGTATATCTGAGAGCCAGTCAATTTTTGAATACATCTGCGATCGCTGCCCTTAGGATACTTTTGCACACCATAGACAAAACCCCAGGCAAACAGCAAAGCTTTGTAGCAAAATTCGAGTCCCATTTTTGCCCATTTTGCAATTATATAAAACAACATTTTGGGTTTGCCGCTCTGATTGCGGCCAACTCTCGTCGTAACAACCGCATGAAACTTTATTTTGAGCTGCTTGCGAGAGCCACAACCTTGGGGAAATCATTGAACATTTTCACTGTGGAAAAGCTGTGGAGCACGAGCAGCTGGTTATGCCTTAAATAATAGGGGGGACAGCCAGTCAGACGACCCATAAGCCGATAAGCAGATTCTCTGAGAGCCTTTTCTGTTACCTTTCCAAACGGGCGTAACAATGCAAGTTGCAATATCAAGGAAAGCCCCCAACTTGCAGGAGCAGCAGCCAGTGGCCAGGCGCCAGGGGGCAGGGGAAGTGGCGAGAGGAAGCCACACATTGGTCTAGCAAAATGTTCTGTGCTGTAAAAACTTTTCTGTATCCTTTCCGAGCATTAGACGAGAAAAAATTATCCCTTCCTGATCTTAACCACATTGGATACACCACTCTCTGCCTCTCTGCCACCCTGAGTGCCTCTCTCTGTTTCACTGTCGAACTGTGTGCCGTCCTTTCGCTCTCCTACTTAACGGCTTATGTGCCAAGTCGCTAAAAACTTGAAAACTCGCGGCAAATGGCATCTAAAATTAATGCGGCATGACCTTTCCGCAAGCCAAACAACTTGTACGAAAACTTTCTGCAGTCCAACAAGATACGCATGGAGCATGGAGCAAGGAGCCGCAGCCCGTGTCCTTTCGTGTTCGTGTTCGTGTTCGTGGCACTTACCTGGCTAAAGCCACGGCTGATTGATCTGGGGCAGCAGGGCAGTCTTGGCTCTTGGCCGTTTAATGTTCGCATAATTGGCTTGTTGCATATTTCATTGCTTAATTGCCGCACATTGTCTGGCTGTGGCCAGCATTCAGCCAGGCATTCCCCCAAAAACAGACCCAGAACCAGACCCAGACTCAGCTCAGCATTCTCTTCATTATTATAATGTCGAACATTGTTAGTTTTTACGCAACCTAATCAAAATTGTTGCTACTTTGGGGGGACGGGGGCACAACACAAACTTTTTGGCTTCTCTCCTTCTCTCTCTCTCTTTCTCTTTCTCTGTTTCTGTTTTGGCTTGTTTCTCGCTTAATTGACTTTGGCCTTTGGAACGGCCGCCTAATTGAAGTGAATCGAGTGATGTCCTCGCTAAGCGGTAGCTGTATATCCT